CATCATCTCAGCAGCATAAAAATGCAGAGAAATCAGAGTCAGAACTTAGCTCAATAGTAGATCTAGGATTTTATTATTCTAAATCTTTGTAAATTTTTGGATATAAAAATCGAACCTAATGTAAGAGAAAATGATATTTTTCTCTCGTTTTAGAGGAAATACAAGGCTTTCTTGAAGGTATATTTTTCTTTATTTGTTGTTCTATTTATTTTTCGAAATTAAAGCAAACTCGTTTATGTGTTTTTTCTCTTTTTGAAGTAAAAAGAAAATTGAAATATATATAAAAACCATGTTTGTTTACAGTAAATAGGGAAAGAGAAAGAGATAGGATCGAGGGTTTACCTGGGGAGGGGAAAAGCAAGCTGAGTCTCGGTGGTCGAAGCAGAGGAACTCAAACGTTGAAACGTTTTTAGCCTTAAGTAGAGGCTTAGGAGTGTAGATCAGAGAAAAAGGGTGATTTAGGGATTTCGACCATCGGAGCGGTTAGAGGTGGTCGATCTATGGCTAGCCAAGGGGAAGGGAGAGCTCTCTAGATTTTTTTTTTTGTTTTTTTCTCCTTCGGTTTGAAATGAAGGGGAAGGGAGAACCCTGAACATTTCGCATGTTTTTATAGTTTGGTCCTTTCAGGGACCAAAACTGCTATTTTAACTTTTCTTTGTGTATGCTTTATTTTTTTGGTGTATTCACTCTTTAGTCCCTCTTATTTTAGTGTGTGTTTTCATTTTAGTCCTATATGGACTATTTTGTGATTTATACTTTTTGTGCCTGATTTTATTATTTTTTAAGGTTAATTCCATTTTAGTCCCTTCAAGTTTGTCGTGTTTTTACATTTTAGTCATGTGTAGTGATTATTTAAAATTTTAAAATATATGTGGATTGATTATGTAATTTTACTTTTTTATTTAACAGGTTATTTTTAGGCTTAAATACAATGAAAAATTGCTCTTAGGTCCCTGTATATTGCACGTGTTTTGTATTTTAATCCCTAGTCTATTTGTTTTATTTTATTTCGAATTAGGCTTTACATATCAATTTATGTTGAGTTAGTCCCTTTGTATGTTCAATTTTAGTTTAGTAATTTTAAATTCATGCAATTAAGTCCTTGAATGTATGTTTAGTTTATTTTTATTTTATGATTTTGTTTTACTATTTTTATTTATTTGTTATTTTAATTAGGTTTATTAATTATTTTGTTTCATAGCTTTAATTCTTAGATTTAGTTTTAAATTAGATTAACATTCAAATCAATCTTAATAATTAGTATTTCACTTTAGTTTTAATTAGGGAACAATTCGATCCAAGTTTTCGTACTAAAAATGCCTGGTTACTCGAGTTGATTGCTCGAATCCTTAATTTATTAATCTTTGAATAATTAAAAAAATTATCTTAATATAATTCCTTTCTTTTAATAAGTAATATGGTTTTGAGTTGAAGATTAATCCTTTAAACTTTAAGATTTATAGACTTAGATCCTTAAGTTTTAGAATTTATATTTAGGTCTCATAGCTATAGTTTTTAATCCTTTGACTATTTAATCCCCAAACATAAATTAGAGCTTTAACATTGACATAATTAAATAGGATTAATAGAGCCTTCACTGTTAAATAGATTTTAATATAGTCCCCCTAATTTAGGGAATAATTCGAGTCGGCCCTCGCCTAAATGCTCGAGGGACCATCTCAATTATTCGATTCAATAATTGATTAAAATCAAATAGGATTAATATTAGAACCTACACATCTAGGTTGGTGCCTTTAGGTCCTTTAACTTTCATAATTTGACACCTTAAGTTAGAAAAAACCCTTAATTTACTTTTAGCTTAATTAGGATGAAAAAAATTTGGTTTGATATCATTATTTTTTTAACCTAAGACAATATTCACTTATTAGGGAATTATTGGTATACCTCCCGCAAGTATGCTCAGAGGGTGACTACCGGTTATTCTCGAAATTGGTCGACATCCTTTTCAAAACATCATCATGATTTTTAAAATTAAGGCAATGTCTGGTTATTAGGCACAATAGATGAACTCTCGCATTTATGCTAGGGGTGAATTCTATCGGTCTCAATAAACGAATACCTTTTTTAACTTTTGCATCCGTAATGATTTTCAAATTAAATAAAGATAGAATTCAAAATTTCTAATTTTAAATATAGGGTAATCGACTATGTACCAATTTTTGGGGCGCTTGTGGGGATGCTAATCCTTCCCCATGCGTAACTGACTCCCGAAACTGATTTCTGGATTTTCGCAGATCTTAAAACTTGGTATTTTGATAAAAATAAAATATTTTATTAAAATCGCCCAGTTTTTACAATGTCCCAATCGAACCTTAAATGATTGGTGGCGACTCCTCACATTTCGAAACCCTTTTCAAAGAAAAAACCCCTGAGTCGATATCAGTCTTTCCCCGCCCGTGCGAAAAATTGTGTCGACAGTTATTAATTATAAAGTTTTAAATCAATCATTAAAATATATCAGGTACTCAATTCCTAATAAAAAAGACCTATTACAAAAACTATGTAATGTCAATATTTATTTTAAAATTTGACATGAAATCAGGATTATGACATATCCAAATAAAAGAAGAATAGATATATAAAACATCTTTTACAATTCCATTTGGACAATATGAATAGAACATAATGACATTTGATTTAAAAAATGCTCCTTCTGAATTTCAAAGAATAATGAATGACATTTTTAGTTCATATTCTCAATTCACAATTGTTTATATATATGATGTACTCGTGTTCTCAGAAAATTTAGATAAACATTTTAAACATTTACATATCTTCATTAAAATAATTAAGAATATTGATTTAGTAGTTTCCAAATCTAAAGTAAGTTTATTTAAAAAAAAATAGATTCTCAGGTCATTACATTACACAAGGAACCATTACCCCAATAGAAAGATATATAGAATTTGCCAGCAAATTTTTAAATCAAATCCATGACAAAATCCAATTCAAAGATTCTTAGGAAGTTTAAATTATGTCATTGATTTTTACCTGGGACTTAGCAAATTATGTAAGCCCTTATATGATAGACTCAAAAAGAATCCACAACCTTGGACATATATTCATACTATTATTATATCTCAAATTAAAAAAACAAACCATAGACCTACCTTTCTTACATTTAGCAGATCCTACAAGCCCAAAGATAGTTGAAACAAATGCTTCAGAAATATGATATGGAAGAATTTTTAAACAAGTCAAAAATGGAAAAGAACAAATAGTACAATTCACATCTAAGCATTGGAATCCGACTCAGCAAAATTATAGTATATTAAAAAAAATTTATCAATAGTTTTATGTATTACAAAATTCAAAGTGATTTATTTAAATCAAAAATTTCTTTTAAGAATTGATTGTGAATCAACACGAAAAGTTCTACAAAAAGATGTTCAAAATATTGTTTCCAAACATATTTTTGCAAGATGGCAAACCAATTTAAGTATTTTTTTATTCTGACATTGAATATATTAAGGGATAATCTAATTCTTTACCCGATTTCCTCACCAGAGAATTTCTTCAAAAATGCCCCCAAATTGAGAGATACAGTGAAAGGAAAAATGCAACAAGCACCATAAAAAAACTCAATTTCAGTAAAACCAATCAAATCTTGGTCCGAAATTTAAAAAAAACAAATTAAGAAGCATCTTCACCAAAATCTTCAGCTAGTGCATCACTCCAAGATGCTCAAGATCCAAATGAGATATCATCTCAAGTAAAAAAATTGGATTGAGTCTCTTTTTCAATCTCCGGAAGTTGCAATGACTTTTGCACAAACTAAGGACGAAAATCCTCTCCAAAAAATTAATATTGAAGTAGTAAAGATTTTAAAAAACATATAGATTGTTTTACATTAACCAAAATATCTCACAAATGTTTAAAAAAATATCTCTATTTTTATTTGGGATTGAACCAACCTATGAAATTTGGTACCGAACGACCACCATCTACGAAGGTCGACGATGGTCGGCAATAGCGTCTAATCACCTTCTATTTTTATTTTATATTTTCAATTATTTAATATTAAATAATAATAAAAATGACCACATCATACAAAAATAATAATAAAATAATTTAGAGTGATCAAAATATGAGCAATTCAAAAGTTCAATGAGTAAATTAGAAAAATTAAAAGTACAGTGAGTAAAATAAGAGACAGAGTATAGTTTAGCAAGAAATGTTGTATTTTACGCAATTAATTAAGGCTAAAAATTGCAGGATATAAACAAATGTTTAAGGCGTTTTAAACTGAAATGAAAAGAAAGTAGGGAGAGAAAGAAAAAAGGAAAAACGATGGTGTTTTTCTTCAGTGAAAGATCAGAAAGAAAGAAAAAACACATTTCGAAAGATGATTTCAATGAAGTAGTGAAGCTATTCAAGCGTTGCGATGTGAACAAGGATGGAAAGCTGAGCCGGGAAGAGGTGAAGGCAGGTTTCCGAGAGCTTCAATATCGTTTTCCTCTTTAGAACCCTTCGTGCGTTTCAGATGGCAGATGAAAACCACGACGGGTTCATCAACGTCGATGATGAGCTCGACAAGCTTATTACTTATGCCTTGGAGTGTTACCCACGCAACATCAAATTTAGATTGATCTAGATAAACCTATTCACATATGTGAGCATTTATGGAAGCATGTAAGGAGTTCTATCCTTTTAAATCCCAGTATCATTACAAAGCTCATCTGGTTTGAGTATGTACTTGGTGTATTTCATATAGTGTATAATATGAAGCATATTAGGACTGGATTTGAGACGGTCGGCACTAAGGCCACTGTTCTCTGTTTTCAGTTTCGTTAAATAATAATAGTACTTACTTTGTGATGAGGAAAGGACAACATTAGGTCTTCATCTTGGTAATGAATTGTAGTTGACATTTCCCCTTCTGACCTCAACATTACATGAAATCACGGGAAACTTTTATCCGTGAGGAACTTGCAAATGTTTAAATTTTCAGCCTCAATCCCCATCACCATCCTTGCCCGTGATATGCTTTGTTGACACCCGTTTTGTCCGGATATAATAATTATTATTATTATATTATTAATATTGTTTATTTTTATTTATTACAGGCTTTACAAATCTCAGCCACAGAGCACCAAACCGACAGCTTCCAGCTTCCACCAAGCCACCATGGGTCATCACTGCATATGTCAACACCAACATCTTCACAAGATACAAAATCTACCTAAATCCCACGAACAATAAAAAAATGAAACCTAATCATCCACTAAAGAAACATCAATGGAAGGGCCACTACAAGCAACCATAAAGGACAACAACGATTCCAAGGAAAGAAAAAAGAAAAAAAGGTAATCGGGGGAGAACCACAAAACCAAAAATTTATCAGTGATCATCGAGGGAGGTCTCGGCAGCAGCAAAACACAGAGGGTAAACAAGAGGGAACTTCTACTTCTTTTCTCAGATTCGAAATAAAAATGGGGGATGAGTGAAGTTTTTTTCCTGTATTCGAATCAAGTAGTGTAAAAAAGGGGTTCTTCCTCCTTTCATTTGAGAAAAAAACAACCAAAAACAGAACATTAATAAAAAGGTATGTATCTCATTTTGTTTATTTTCCAGCAAAGATTCATGTGTATGGTTTTTGTTTGAAGCGAGGATAAGGGTTAGAAGCTTACCGAGAGCGTGTTGAACCACCGTAGCTTAAGACTGAATCCTTGAGATTTGTTCGAGAGACCTTGCATATGGGTTGTGGGGTTTAGTTTTTAGATCATGACTTTAAAATTAAAAGAGTAAGAATAAAGAGAGATTGAGTGAAAATTATTTACCTTAATTTGGTTTCATCGCCGGAGTAAGGAGCATGGAGTTGTGGGTTTTGGTTTTCAGTCGAGTTAGATAGTTGAGGGGGTTCGTGTTGTAATCGTTTGAATCGTTTTTATGATTCCTTCAATCGCCGGCCATGGTGGCTAAGGGTTGCAATCGGCCATGAAAGGAAATAGAAGAAGAGAGTAGCGTTTGTGTTGAAAGAGAGAAATGAAGAGCAAAACGGCACACATCTTAGGCTTAGCAGAAATGGAATTTGACTTGAGTTAGATATTAAGTTATGAAATTTGGATAAAACGGCTACATCTTAAATTAGAGTGATTGGTTTCTAGCCGAGTTAAGGGATAACTATGAGAACACTCCTCCTAATTTTGGGTTGATGCAATTTAGTCCTCAGGTTAAGCTTTTTCGATTTTCTAATTGTATCTTTATATTTCTGGTGCCTTTCATTTTGGTTCTTCATTATATCATTCTTAGTTTTATATTATTTTTACATTTAGCTTATAATTTTATTAGTTGATGTTTTAGTCACTGATTATAATTATTTTAAATTTTCATTCGTTTGTATATTTGGTATGCTCCTTTTGAAATTTGCATTTTAGTCCTATATGCAGTCATGGATTTATTTTAATTTTAGTCTATGAAATGTAATGAGTTGTGTTTTATGACTTGATATTTGTTTAATTTATAGTTTTAGCTTTAGATTTATTTTCTCTTTTATTTCAGTCTTTATGTTTTTTTTTTTTTTTTTTTGATAATCTATGTGTAAAAGTATTATTGCAAAGTTTAGTATTTAAGTAAATAGATTTCATATAGGTTTTAATAAATTATATTTATATTAAGTAAATTTTTAATAATTAATTAATTTGTTACATATGTATATATATTAATTAATAGATATAAACTTTGCTTTCATTTATTAAAAAAAATAATACTGTGGGCATTAATTTTTTGAAATCATTAGAATATATGTTCTTAATTGAACCCTAATTTTTTACATTTACTTTGACATACTTTATCATTTTATAAATTAGTAGTGTTGTAATTTGCATGATATCCTCACGCGCATAACTTGATAAAATTACATAATTAGATTAAGGGTAATACGATTTTAATTTAAAATTATTTTACGTGGGTTATCTTAACTGATTAGAGATCCGCTTTTGACGATTTTAAATTAAAAGTGTATCCCAATAGTGACATCTAAAATTGATTTATCATTTTAAAATTTGGGAATGGAAGAAAAAGAAATGTTCGTTTTTTTAAATTTTTCGAGAAAAGGTTGTTATAACTGATTTAAGACCTGGTCTCGATATTTTTAAATAATCGGATATTCTTTATCTTTTTAAAGGTTGGGTAATTTTAATTTAATTTATTTTGGTGCTTTTAAATATTGTAAAACTTTTATGTTGTTGTTTTGTTAGGGATCATAAACCAAATTAAATTCGAATTTATTAATTTTGTTGCAAAGACATTAATTAATCGATGAGGTACCGATTTAGGGCGCTGTGGGGGTGCAAATCCTTCCCCACGCGTAACCGACTTCCGAACACATTTTTTGGTAACGCATACCTCTATATGTCATTTTAATTAAAATCAATTTTTATTTAAAATGACAAAACATTTTTTGGGTGCCCAATCACACCCTAATCAAAGATTGGTGGCGACTCCTCGAACCGTATGTTTTTATCGTAAAGAGAATCTCAAATTTTTCGAAATGAAAGGTTTTTAAATCACATTCACTTTTAATTAAAAATCAATCAATTAAGAGATAACTTAAAATTAGTGTGGTTTTTTAAAAAATTTCATCAGGAAAAAAAACGTTTCGACAGCTTGGCGACTCTACTGGGGACCTTTTTTTTAGAGTCATGCCTATAGTCGATTAATTGATTATCTTTGCAATTGAAAGTTATAAATTCGTTATAATTTGGTTTTTGATCCTCTGTTTGTTTATAATTTGGTTAACTAATAAATAGTTGTACTGATCTGTTTGCTAATGATTTCAGATTAATTATGTGTTGAAAGAGGATTGATTTTTTATTGTTTTGTGATTATGTGTTGTTTTATTTTCGCTTTTCCTCACACACTGCACAGTTTCATTTGCATAACATGAGCTAAAGCCTTGCTCCATCCTATTTAAGTAGGAGTGAGAGACTACTCTCTCGTGAGGTTTTCACCTCTGCATGGGATAGTGGATCGCTCCTGGAGCTCATGCCTTATGATCCTCGTGAGGTTTTCACCTCCGCATGGACATAAGGAGGTGTGTTCCCTCAAAATTGAATTCGGTCCCAAAAGCCTGTGATGGGCTAGGATTGAGGGTTCGATAGCCCAAGGGGGCACCGACAAGGACAATTCGAGAACCTATTACTTTAGAACTGAACCCAGCATATAGTGAACATAGAGCCCAAACTTAGGTCGAGCTTGACCCGAACCTTAGGAGTCCTGTGAGGAGGGTACACAAGGAAAAGCTTTTTGAGTCATTTATTTTCGCTTTTTGAATAAATGTATGTGAATTAGAAACCATACGGTTAGGTTTATTTTTCAAACCAGCATGCGAATTAGATATCCTGTTGTTAAAATTTTTTTGCGAATGACAAGGCATGTGGGTAGATATTATGTTGGGTAGGATCTACTAAAACATGATTGGGTAGCCAACATGTGAGGGTAGGTTTTATTTAATGACTATGATACTTATCATTTTGTTGATTATATTATGTGTACTAACCCATTTTGGTTTTATGTCTATTTTTTTGGATGTATTGCATTTGCATCTTCATGTCATCCAAAGGTGTTAATTCGTAAGTGATTGACTAATAAGAAGGATGGTTATATTAAGGCAAGAAATTCTCAACCATGTAGTCAAAATCGAGAGATCCGAAGATGTTCAAATATATCTATGAAGAAGGAAATCTGATGAATGAAGAAGTTTGAAGTTGATTGAAGACTACCTTTAAAGGCGCCAAAACCGAGATGTTCCCTCAAAAGATAGATATAGTCATACGAGAAGACCCTTCACAAAGGCATGAAGACCACTTTACATTGAAAGTAAAGATAGAGGTTTCAAGATTCAATTGAAGGACATCTGACCTCATCAAAGGTGATAAAATATGTCGACAACTTTAGGGTGTAATGTTAGATTCCATGAAGAGTATGGTTCAAGGAAATGAAGAATCACAATTGTATTTTGACTACATAGTGTAACGAAATCTTGTTGTCTAAATGAAGGTTGTTCTATAGTGGTCACTTTTGGAAATAACACCTTGTGCATTTGCATTTGTATTTGCTTTCTTATTTTACATAAACTTATTAATTAATTTATTTTACTATTTGCTTCTATAATAATTCTTGTCATCTTATTATCATTTTTATACTAACTAGTTTATATGTTGTTTTTCATTTTTGCTTGTATCACATGTTCATGACATAATCAAAAGGTATTGATTTGTGAGTGTTCATCATAATAAAAGGTTTTCATGACGGACAAAGGGTTTCGTTATCAAGTAAGCTATAACCCAGTCAAGAAGTGGCATCCTGAGAAAGCTTCGAGAATGATGGATAGCTATTCACACAAAGGTCACATGTCTGACGAAGAGCTAAGGGAGATAAGAGAGATAAAAGAGCAGATGTCCAGGATGATGGATAGAATAGATGCTTTGGCCAAAGGAAGTGAGACTTCTAACACATAAAAAAAGAGCTTGGTCTTGAGGTGTCAAATATGCAAGGGACTACTTTAGAACCTGATAATTCTAGCCAGTATGAGAAGCCACACACAATCATTGTTCGTATCAACAAGCTGTTTGGAAACGCCAAAGAAATAGTGGAAACTGTAGAAGTTTAGAAGAATGAAAAGAAGCCATGCAGTCAGAACTTGGTGATATTTGATAGTCTACTCCCGACATCAGGGGAAGTAAAACTTGAAACTCCAGTTCAACCCAAGTCGAGAGGTGGCTCTCATTTTGATTATATCTCAATATCATATAAGGAGCTGTATGATGCACTGTTAGAAGACCGAGAAGTGGCCCCATATTATGTGAAACCTCTGCAGCCTCCATATCCAACTTGGCGTGACATCAACGTTTATTGTGAATATCATGCTGGAATTCTAGGACATTCTATTCAGAATTGTTCTGCCTTCAAAAGATGAGTCCAACTTCTTATAGATCATGGAATATTGGAGTTTGAATTGAAAGGAAAACCTAGTTTGGTAACGAATTATCCTGTTGAATCTGAACCAAAAGTGACCAAAGCTAAGGGTATTTGTGAAGACATTCAAGAGGAAGATTGTTTACCAAAGTACGAAGCTCAGATTCGTCATCTAAGAAGAGAAAATGATAAATTGAGTAGAGATATGGAAGTCATGGAAGATGTTTTCCAAATGATCGGTCAAGTCTTTAAATTTGCTGGTATAGGAAATGTCATAGAGGAGTGGATAACAGGGGTCACTAAACTGAAGAATAATGTCGAACAGTGGAGAAAAACTTGCAAGGTGTACGAAGGTCGAGTTGAGAAGTTTTCTCAAGATTTACATATTGCAGAAAGAATGCACAATATAGTTGTTGATAATTTGGGAAAGTATCAAGCCAAAAATCAGACGTTGAATTTGTCCATAACCGACATGGAAATTTCATATCAATGCCACAAGAAGGAGAATGAAGCTGAGCTAGAAGCCACTAGATCCAATAACAAGAAGTTGATGAAGATGGTGGATGACTATAGTGATCTTATGCAAGAGTTTCATAACCACAATGACTTTCTTACAAGGAATAATCAACAGCAGTGTCTACAAATTCGAGAATTGGCACTCAATATAGAGAAAAGGGACAAAGTCATAAAAGAAATTATGACCCAAGCAGGCAATGTGGCTCACAAATGGGTTGATTTAGCTGGCTTTTCAAGAGAATTGAAACAGATTGATAACTCGACCCCCGAGCATGAGTGGAAGCTAAATTGGATTTTGAAGGAGATAGAAAAGCTAGGAGTGAAAGCTGTCCATTATCTGTAAAAGTTTGTTTGATGTACCGAAACCTTTGTGTTCAATGAAAGTTGTTTTAAGATGGTCACTCTGGAATGACACCTTTTGTATTTAGCATTTGCATTTGCATTGCATGTATTTATTTAAGCATTTTATATGCATTAATTATGAAAACACATAAATAACATATGGAAGATTATATGACAGTAATAACAAGATCATTCATTTATACTACTTCCTCATCATCATGAACAAACAAATGAAAGCAATGGAGCAATCTAATAAGGA